GACTACTCCATGCTAGGAGAAGGGAAAACACAAGAGAGAAGAAGGAAAACCATCATGGAGAGGCTAGCCTTGCTCCTTGTGTTGAAGAGATCCTCCTTTGGGGAAAGAATTCTCAAATCCTTGCTTGAAGATGAAATCCTAGCTTCTTCTCTTCTTTTGTTCGTCACTTTCTCACTCTAGAAATATGAAAAAGAAGAAGTTTCTCACACTAGGTCTCTCCCCTTTCTCCTACAGCTCAAACCCCCTTTTATACCCAGGTCGAGCTCACATCACGGTCCCAGCTCACGGCCGTGAACTCAAGGCGTGGACAGTGATCTCAGGCCAAAGCGCGCCGCCTCAATAATCCACGTCACGGTCTGCGACTTTGGTTCATGGTCTTGCGATCGTGAACTAGCTTGAGTCCAGTGAAAGCAAAAATGTCACTAGACGCCTTGATGTTTATGGCTTGCAGCTCCTGTTCATAGTCGCCATGACCGTTAATTAATGTCTTCCACCGTGATCTGCGACTGCCTCTATCCTTTGGCCAGATTTTTCGCCTTTTCGTCCAACTTTCGACTCCAGGGTTGGTTCCACCTACTATAGACTGAAATGCACAAAATCGAGACAAAACCCAGCGTAAAATCAAACCTCCCAGAAAAAAATACTTCAAACGACTAAGGAAATCGGGGGTAAAAAGTGTACAATTGAACCCGAATCAAAGAGTCACTCTAGCTAGTGTTTTGTTGAATGCCATACCCACATGTGTCATGCAAACTACAATGCTACCTATGTCAGCTTGTTATGAAATTGATAGGAGAATTAGAGATTTTGTGGGACTCTAAGGAAAGAGGATAGTTCATTTGGTTGGTTGGGAGATGGTTTGCAAACCTAAGATTCAAGGGGGATTTAGTCATAGAAGTCTATTCTTAAAGGATGAGAGAATTACTAACATGAGAACCAATAATCACTTTAATAATGGAAGTTTATTCTTAATGCCTCTCATGAAGAGAGGAATGATGTGGAGTGTTCGTGAAGGGGAAACAATGCGCTTTTGGACCTAGCATTGGCTCAACTTTGAAACAAAACATTAAGACTACCTCTTGTTTGGCATTCATGATGATCACAGGGAATCCTCATTTGGCTCATTGGGCCACAAAGGAAAGTGAACGAAAATGGAATAGACTCAAGATCCTCCTACATGACGATATTTTGTCTTCCATTGTAGCTATGGAAGCACCTAAACTTGGTATGCGAGAGGACATAACGATATAGGGAGTGGAGAAAGATTGTAAATTCAAACTAAGTTTCGTGTGCCCACTTTCTCCCGATGTAATAGAGGAGGAGGAGGAAGATAGTATTTAGAAAGAGCTTTGAAAGTGGAAATTATCAAGCATATCGAAGCATTTCTTATTGATAATCCTTCCCGATCGTCTTATGATGAACAAGGAAAGAGTATTCGGAAATTAACTACCAATGGGAACTGCAAGCGTTGCACTAGACCTGTGAAGATAGTCGAATACATTTGCGAGACTGAAGGAGGACCGAGGGAGTGTGGAACTTCTTCAAATACAAAGTTACAAAAAAGAGTAACATAGACTTCAAAACATGGATGGTTTCCAACTTTATGAAAAAAATTGGTGTGGATATTCTTTCTGTTGGATGTTATAGGAACAGAAAAATGAGAAAGTCCTGGATGGAAAGAATTAATCGGAAATTGGAACTGTCCAAGAATCATGGCATTGTTACAAATGGTGAAACAAGCTAAGCTCAACACACAGAAAATCATTAGCCTAGGAGTGGGTGCAAGGATGAAATAGAGGTTGAAGTATGTTGGGATCCAGTGAAAAAAGGATGGATACAAGTCAAATATGATGGATTAGTTAACCCTTCTACAGGGAAGGCGATTGCAGCCTGCAGGGGATCTACTCAAAGATCACTTGAAGAGATGCAAGGGAACATTTGTTTGTAACATAGGAAAATGTTCGATTATTAGAGCTGAGAGGTGCACTGAATGCTTGAAATTAGTGTGGGAAAAAAAGGCTACAAACAGGTTGATTTTAAGCTAGATTCTTCCACAACAATAAGTATTATAAAAAACCGCGACAAAGATAACTACAAACACTATCTTGTCACTAAGAAGATTAGAATGCTTCTAAACCTTGATAGGAATTTTTTCCATTCCTAAGAAGATTAGACTGCTTCTCACTAAGCTAGATTAGAATGTTGTTTTTATGTTGTTGCTAGTAAGATTTATGGTTTCACTTTTGGCACATTAAGAACCCACACTTATATCAATGCCTTCTCTGCAATATCATGGGTATTACCACGAGTCGGTCTATAATTAATGAAAATTAGGATGTCATTATGCACAAAGCAAACACCTCTAACACAACAATTAATGTCTGTCAAATGCATTAGTCGTTATTGGCCAACATCTTAGGATGTCCGACGCTACATTAAATGCACCTACCAATCTCAAAGTGACTATAACAGTATAACTACTACTATTGTCATCATCTAATAGTAATTCTCCATATATCTTTCGGGTAAATTCCATATTTAGTCATTTAGTTTACTAAAAAGTATCAACTTTAGTCACTAATAATATTTAATTTCAATGTTAGTCACTCAAATTAGTAAAACAGCTAATGTTTGGTCACTCTTCGTTACCTTCCGTTAGTCTTCGTTAACACCGTTAGTCATTTACTGATGTGACTAACAGAAGTGTTGAATCACCTAATTTTAACCCATCACATTACCAAACCTGACCATCCACGTCATTTTTACCCATCACGTCATTTCCCAAACCCAACCGTGACTCAACCCGTAACAACCTGTCCAACTCTGACTGCTGCTTCCCCTACCGCCGCAACATTATTCAAGAATGAAGGAGAGAGAGGGGAGAGTTACGAAGCGTACTGCAGGGAGGGATGGGCTCTGGTGCATTAATCGAGCAAGAATGGAGGGGGCTCCACCTAGTCTTCCTGGTCGGATCAGAGAGGGAAGAAGCGAGAGCAGATTCGTTGCCAACATCGTGCTCCCTTCTCAAAACTAGCGACTGACTAGACCTCTCCGGCCGCCGCCGCCGCGCTTTCATCTTCCCGCAGACCTCTCTCCTCAAGTCTCCAACAAGGAGGATGATTTCTTATTCTTTGTATCCTCTTTCCCAATTTCAAAAATGATGTGCAACACCCACGAATTATCAGCCCCACCACAACCTTGGCCGACCCAAAATTCCACAATTAAAGAACACTTTGTCGGCTTGATGTCCCTGTGAATCGCCCCCTTCCTGTGGCAGTGGGAGATGGTGACGATCATTTCGTCGAAAATGGATCTGACCTCTTGCTCGGCGAATGCTGCCATTGGCACGGATTAGGGCATGGATTTCAGAGTTTTGGAAAAGTTCAATGTCCGTTTGGGAATGGAAGTCTTCCTCGTAGGTTACCCAGAGCTAACGAGGGGAGGATGCGGGTAGACGAGGCCTAAGTCTAGGTGAGGGAGATGACGCTGAGCTTAGTCCCGGAGAGAGGCGGCGGCAGGAAACCCGGATCACTACTAGACCCGAATGGCCTCTCGTCCTCCTTTGCCGAGGCTGATAGTGGTGGAATCACACCGTTCCAAATTCAGAATCCCCATTTCCTAAGAAGAAGACTCCTCGTTTGGCATTGAATCGGTCTCGAATATGGTTTCGGGGATGAATGTCCTATTCCACTTCGAGAAGAACATCTATTGGAGGAGATTATCACGATAACAGTCGTGGGTTGCTCTGGAGAGCATAGCAGAGTTGGACACCCTCATCGTCGACACCTGTTTGAGCCTAGAATGTACTATGCGGTTATGGGGCTCCAATCTGGACTCCCTTGTTTAATCTCCTCGGGAGTGGAAGAACTTGTGAGGTGGGGGGCGGCCCCCGGGATCTACGCTCCAACGCCCAAATTAGTACGATATGGGAGAGTGTATGGTATGTAGAGAGATAAAATAGAGAGAGAGACCTTAGGAGAAAGAGAAAGTGAGGAAGGGAAGAAGAGGATCCTCCAGCTTGGAGGCTTTAGCCTCCTTATATAGAGTTTGGGCCTCCTTAAGTGGGCTTGGGCCCGGGACACCTTGCGGTGGGCTTGGGCCCGTTTATAGTCGTGTAGGCATATTAATCAATATCCCAACAATTGCCCAATGGGTGCAAGTGGCTAGTGCCCAATATATTTAGTGCATAAATATATCCTAGCATGTTGCGGAAAGCGCCTAGAATAATAATAATAATAATGAACCACTTTATTTAAGATATATCTCTGTAAAATTGACTTAGCTTGAGAGAAGTTGGAGAGCGGTTAAGTATTGGCTGTTGCGTGATTATTCAATAATGTTTCCTTGTAGCTTACTGGTTGGTGCGGCTTCCAATGAAGGAAAGGTCAGCGATTCAAAGGATGGTAGAGGCAGCTCTCTTCTTTTTTGCTGAACTTGTCTCTTGTCTTCCTTTTGGCAGTCCAGATTTGGAGAGAGGAGGTGCGGGCCACTAAAGCTTGATGAATGCAGAGCTGGCCGGATGTGGAGCAGATTGGGCTTTGGATGCGTCCCGCGCCCTAACTGGCCGGTGGGAATTCAGGAAGTTAATAAATATTGGCCGCTGCGATAATGAAGCGCGAAGATGTCTTCTAGTCTGCTCGTTGTTCGCCTTGTTTCTGAGAAAGATGTCCGCGGTTCAATTCCTCTTTAGGCATTTTTATTTCTTTGTGATTAAGGGAGGCAGAGTGGGTGGATTGGAAGGCGGTCAGCCTGAGATGGGCTTGCCCGGTAGACTGGACTGAAACGGAAGGTGGGCTCATGGGAGACAGGACTAGTAGGTGGACTAACGCTATTGGATGTTAAAATATTAAATAAGAGAGCGGTCGTTATTGTAGCACCAATTGATGTTGAGCCCAATTGGTGTGCATCCTTTCCCATCCACTCTTTGATCACGGGTTCGAGTCTTGGTGGTTGTTCTTTGCTCGCCCTTTCTTCTTTTTGTGTAATTGAAGGGCCCCGATATGGGCTTTCTACTGGGAGGCGGCTCTGAAAAACGTGTCTGGCTAGCAGTTTGGATGCCGGTCGGATTGACTTGGGCGACACAAATAGACCTTGATTTGAACTTCAGGAGGTCTTCGATATTGGACGTGCCAGCAATACGACGCGGGCCGAGACTTCGCGGTCTTGATGATGTGGCGGGCCGAGCTGGATGTGAATGGGAGGTGATCAGACTAGATGATGCGGTCCTTACTAAATGCGGAGATGGGCTATGGGCGGTCTTTGCATAGAGCGTTGGTGGGCTGTCTTCGTATGGTGGATTGGTGGGCGGTCCATGCAGGTGTGATGGAAGGAGAAGCGGGCCAAAGGCAATCCCATTTGACGGGAGGCTGGACGGGCGAAAATTTGAAGACTTGAGGGCGGTATCAATATGTGGGTTGAAGTCTATGTGGGCCGGATGTTTGGGCTTTGGAGGCGGCTGTTGACTCGATATTTGCACAAGTTTTCCCTTTTGTTTCTTGATCGTTTAAGCTTGCATTATTGCTTCTTTGGCCTATTTTACGCTAGGTTGTGTTCCTTTGTCACATTTCAGGTCCTAGCACATAAAGTGAAGCGTAGGCGGAAGTTTCAAGTCAATCGGAGATCAATTGGCGACTCGGGGGAAGAAACTCGGGTATGACTTGAAGAAGAAGGGATTTCTACCCAAGTTTGTGACCATATAATCATGTAATCTTGTCATAGGAAGAAAGAGGACGAGAATACGAGCGTCTGGGATCAAACGGCACCTGATTTGGAGTCCGAACGAGGGAGAAACGAAGAATCAAAGATAGGGGAAAATTGGTTTCGGGCTTCTCTGAGAAACAGAAGGGGGCCCTATCGTGAAGCTAAAATCCCCGGTAGGGGATTTTTGGCCTTGATAGGGGATTTTCCCAAAAATCCCCTATCGTGAACCAAAAATCCCCGGTCGTGAACTAAAATCCCCGGTCGTGACCCAAAAATCCCCTATCGTGAACCAAAAAATCCCCTGTCGTGACCTAAAATACCCTACCGGGTATTTTGACCGGGGATCACGAACGGAGGCTGTAAAAAGCCTGTTTTGTGCGTTTTTGCAGAGGGAGAGCTGGGTTTTGGATCCCAAACACCCTAGGGACGAACCAAAGAGAGAGAGGGCGATTTGAGGGCATTCTTGGAGTGGAATTGGAGGATTTCTATGCCTTGGAAGCTCGAGGAACAAGCCCGGACTTGAAGACTGATCATCTGAAGATTCTTACTGCAGTCTCTCTCTTCTCTATGGAGTAACTTCCCTTCACTTAGGTTTTGAGGAACCCTAGCTATGTTTGTTTGATTGGATGATTGTATGATTACTCTGACTTGATAATCTTGAGTTCATATTCAATCTATGCATGTTTTCATGATTCAATTCTGCTTTAGTCAAGATTATTGATTCTGCTTTGATCCTATGAGAGGGAATACCTGATTAGGTCAATAGAGCACCATAGATTGATAGTAGTGGATCGATTGCTTTAGTCGAGGGTTGATTCACTGCTTTGTATCAATTGAGAACCTCTTTCGATAGAGGGAGTCTAGTTCAGAACGCCTTGATCAGTTGTTCTAGAGAAGGATACGTCCCTCTAGGCAATTGACTCAAGAGGGCCTTGTTCCTTTAGTCGAGACTCAAGGTCTAGTCAAGGTTTCTCCGCATTGTGAATGAAAGTGAAACAAGTTAGAAATCATCTATCGTTAGTCTGGCTAGTGGCTAGGGGGAATCATACCTAAGTGAGCTCCCAACCTGTAATTAGATTAACTTTAACTGTAGTTTGCTAGAGTAGTTTTAGTTCTTTCATCTTAATATGGTTTGCTAAATAATAAACTGAAGCTGAGTAATAGTAACTCTAGAGACCCATGGATTCGATATTTATCACTTGAGCCACTATACTGCAGTCCCTTCCATTGGTTACACTTGGCCATTGTTAGGTGTTGTGTCATAGCGAGTCAAGTTTTTGGCGCCGTTGCCGGGGACTTTCTAGAGTATTAGGAAAGGCAGAAGTTTGTTACTTTAGCGTTTTTCTTTTCTTTTCCACCCTTGCTTTTCACTTGGGTGTTTTTGTTTTTGTTGGTGCAGATCTGAATCATGGATCCTCATGGCTTCTCCAACAATTGGGGGTATCCACCACCACCCGAGTGGTATTACCCCGAGACTTCCTGGAGCAATCAAGGAGGAGAAGAATATGGATTCGGGTTCCAGTACCAACCCCCTTACTACGGAGAACAACCGGACCCTTGGCCTTATCAAGAACAACCTAATTACCAAGAAGAATTTTTCCCACAACCAGAGGGGCCATTGGAGCTGGAGTTACCCATGGCCGCCTTCACGGGCCATTCTGCAGAGCCATGCTACACTCCACAGCCAGATCCACACTATGAATTGAGACTTCTCATGGAGCAGTTTGCTCGAGACTGTGATAGAACATGCTCCAGGATGGATCCTTGTGTCCAGGCCTATCGTGAAACAGAGGAGATCCTCCTGAGCCTTAAGAAGAGCGTCGATGATCTTGAGAGATCTTGGGCACAACCTGATCCAGATCACCCTTCTACTACTATACTAGAAGAGGAGGAGGAAGAAGAAGGCTACAAGGACATTGTGGAGCACACTAAAGATGTCACGGAGAGCTCCCGTGATGATCATGATCAGGAATGTCCTGTCATAGGCAACCACACCTTCCCACACCCCAAACTGAGCTTTGAAGAGGCGGGCATGAGTGAGGAGATGCGAGAAGATCTCATGAAAGAAATTGCTTGGCAACTTGCTCTCCAATCCGTGCTAGAAGAAGAAGAGCAAAAAAGGGTGTAGAAAGAAGTTGTAGAGGATGACGAAAGTGAAGCTGGAGGAGTTCTTGATCATTTCCCAGGGGTGATACCACATGAAGAAGGAAGGGAGGTTGAAGAAGCAATTGGCGTCCAGGCTGAGGACGAAGTTGAGGTGGAAGAGGCTTGCACCGGCCATGAGTTACATTTGATATCTCCACCAAACTTCGAGGAACTACTTAGCAAGGACCCATTTGCAGTGTCTCTTTGCCAGACCAAGGCCACATCAACATCGGTCCCTCTTGGTGGACGCGATGGTGGTCAATCGATGCTGTCATATCTGGTTTGGGTCAATGAGACGAGAGAAGAGAAGAAGAGGTCTCGAGGGTGGAGACGTTATCTGCATCAAGTGCACAAGCTTCCATCACCTGTCATACCACATGCTCGTGACTTGAGACTCCACCTCATAGACGAGAACCTCAACTTCAAAGAGGTTTTGGGGTGGACCGAAACTTAGGAGCCATCGTCCGGCTCATGACGTGAAAGAAGCGCTTGTTGGGAGGCAACCCAACCAGTCTGTTTGCATTTCTTTCTCTTTTTCTCCTCGGTTGAGTCAGTTTTGTTATTTGATTTTAGAGTCAATAATTCAACCTTTGTGAGATTTTGTGTGGTGTTTGTGGTCTGACCATTCTCTCCTCCTGGAATACGCCGCCTGCCCCGTCCACCATCATTCACCCTGGATCTGGTAACTTCGTTCTACCCTCCTTATCTTTCCTCCATTGAGTACAATGTCGTGCTTAAGTGTGGGGGGATGTTCGATTATGTATCCGTGTGAATGTTTGACTGTTTGTGTGCTTGGAGCCTAGTCCACTGTCCAAATTTCGATTTGAGGGCTCCAAGTACATGTTCATTGCAATTGCCTGCTCAGTATGCTTTGAATTGACAGTCTTTATAGTAATATGCAATCTAGGGAGGTAGTGTAGCACTATGGAGGATGTTGATGCATTTAAGAAGTCTCATTTCTTCTTCATATTGTGTTGGTTGATTGAGTGAATTAGTGATCTTAGGACCCTTGAATTGTGTGGTGTTGTGGACTCTCTACCTGTCATGGACTCTTGTATCATGTTTTGAAATAAAAGGTGCTCGATAATGTGCTTTAAAATAACGTCTCCCGTGCGAATAGGGCGAAAGTGTGTAAGGGGAGACGGGAATTCGTTCCCAATTTCCACCTACTACCTCCAGCCCTCTTACATTCCTTTTCCCCGCACGAGGCTCGAGACATTCGCTCCCGGCATGGCCGGTAAGAGCCGGATTCCCGCAAAACCTTTGCTAGGTGGGAGCCCCGTTTTCTGAAAATCGGGTTGGAACCCTTGAAAAAGAAAGAAAAAAAAGAGAACAAAAGAAAAGGAAAAAAAAGGGGTTCCAACCATCTTCAAAAAGAAAATAAGAGCACCTTGAAAAATGTGAGTCCATGATCTTTAGTTTTTGAGAGTCTCTTTTTCCAAATTCATTTGTCCTCTGATCACTATTTGCCATGATGCCGACTCGAGACTAGCGTTCTCGCCGAAGAAGCTATGAGATGACTTGTGCGTCGGTTGACCTCGTAAGCTGCTAAATGATCTAGAAAATCCTCTATCAAGGATCGAGGGTGCATGTTGCTATAGAGGTCTGGAGAGCTGCATTGGTTTGAGTTAGGTTTGCTTGGGGACAAGCAAACGGTTAAGTGTGGGGGGATTTGATGACTCGATATTTGCACATGTTTTCCCTTTTGTTTCTTGATCGTTTAAGCTTGCATTATTGCTTCTTTGGCCTATTTTACGCTAGGTTGTGTTCCTTTGTCACATTTCAGGTCCTAGCACATAAAGTGAAGCGTAGGCGGAAGTTTCAAGTCAATCGGAGATCAATTGGCGACTCGGGGGAAGAAACTCGGGTATGACTTGAAGAAGAAGGGATTTATACCCCAGTTTGTGACCATATAATCATGTAATCTTGTCATGAGAAGAAAGAGGACGAGAATACGAGCGTCTAGGATCAAACGGCACCTGATTTGGAGTCCGAACGAGGGAGAAACGAAGAATCAAAGATAGGGGAAAATTGGTTTCGGGCTTCTCTGAGAAACAGAAGGGGGCCCTATCGTGAAGCTAAAATCCCCGGTAGGGGATTTTTGGCCTTGATAGGGGATTTTCCCAAAAATCCCCTATCGTGAACCAAAAATCCCCGTTCGTGAACTAAAATCCCCGGTCGTGACCCAAAAATCCCCTATCGTGAACCAAAATATCCCCTGTCGTGACCTAAAATACCCTACCGGGTATTTTGACCGGGGATCGCGAACGGAGGCTGTTAAAAGCCTGTTTTGTGCGTTTTTGCAGAGGGAGAGCTGGGTTTTGGATCCCAAACACCCTAGGGACGAACCAAAGAGAGAGAGGGCGATTTGAGGGCATTCTTGGAGTGGAATCGGAGGATTTCTTTGCCTTGGAAGCTCGAG